AGAATCCCTCGTAATTTATTCATCATCGGCGATTTTGTATTATTGGTAATTGGACACTTTGACCCTGAACCGATATAAATGACATTTAATGATTTATTTTTTATCAATTGTCTACCGTTGAGCATAGAAATATTACACCTCGACCTTTCATCGGATAATAACACACGTTTTCCAAGCTCGTATATAAGATCAATTTGAAAAAAAAAGATAAAAAATAACAATCATGCTATTTTAATTGCAGCGTAATGTAAGTCCCGTGGCAGTGCGAAGCCATAAACAATCTTTTTCAATCCAGAAAAACAGCGAGCCTTCCCGGCCATAAATCAAGCTATCCGCTATTATTTCGATTTCGTTTTCCCAGCGATGCAATTCCATTTGCCCGAACGTTTGTTATTGCACGAGCAACGGTCGGGCGATCCTGTTACACATTACTATTCTGCTTCTTTGTGGCTCGTGATTTGCTTTTAACGAAGAAAAATCGAAGAGGAGTCGGTTTTGATCGCAAGTATATTCCAAGCGACGCGCGCGCGCCCGTTCGAAATTGCCGCGTCACGCGGACGGGTCCATTGCAATCATCGGCGCAGTGATGCAGCAAAGGTCTTATTGGCTGTTTCGCGAGTACAATGGCGTAGCACAAAGACGAAGCTCCGCGCAAGGACGAATTACATAATACGAACAATACGCTAATAACGATTATTATCGGATACGGGCGAAAATCAGGCGACTCCTCCCAACTTAAGTCGATTCTATTTCCACGACGTTCAGAAACTAATACGAGCATTTTCGAAAATTTCAAGGATACTGCGGTTACGAATCAATACGCGCCCCAGGACGTTCTCGATCTTTTTTTCCTCGAGTTTTCGAGAGAAACAGAGAACTTAACCTCAAAAAGAGAAATACAAAATGACGGGTATTTGGAATATTTTAAAAGCATTACACAAAAATGATATATTATAAAACTTGCATGTACGTTTAATAATAAGATATTTGTTCTACCGAAAATATCGTTTCTTTGATGGGTTCCAGTTCAGGTCGCGCGCTGGGAAATCAGAAAACGTGAAGCTTGCATGGGATCGAAATTTACACGTGTTTCGAGCACGGGGGAAATGAAAAAAATACGGGACGAAAAACACATAGACGGAGGTTCTGCGCGGCAATTATAGCGAGCTTTCTCGTGTAGGTGAAGCTCTTTCGCAGAATCGTCGTCGTCGTGTCCCCCGAGCACGTGTGTGAAAACGCGCTCGCGCGCTCGCTACGTATTCCTATACCGTCGTGTGTGCGCGTTTTCCATGTGTCGGCTCGGCGATAAATTCGTATCGCGAATCGAATGTGATTGGCCGGGCTGACAGTGACGTCAAACCGGTGGGCAGCCGTGAAGTGGCAACAACTCCGCGTTGCGTTCCCCAAGACCCGTGAAAAATATTCGTTTCTTTTTTTCCCTCCGCGGATCGAACGCGATCGAGTGTTACGAAGCCTGTTATGACTCACCTCTGGTTAATACGTATATCACGTGACTCTCTAGCCTTCTTTTTTTAATTTTATTTTTCCACGCGACCCTAAACGCTCCGTTGTTCCTCAGTTTCTCGGACCGATCTCTGTGTGCGCGTGTGTGTGTATAGGACCTATACACGCGTGTGTGTGTTCCGAGGAAACGACTATGTACATATATGTAAACGTATATCCGTCGTCGGGCTGTCTAACGATGGTGCCTTCCCGTTTCTTTTTTCCGGTTCCCCTGGCTGTGTGACGATGGGTTGCAGTGAGCAGGCTCCATTGCGAGTCCGAGTCCTTCAAAATGGACTTGATCCTGGACATCAACAGCTGGCTCTATCCGATGGAACTGGGTAAGCTAATTTCGAACGACTTATTATTACATTTCCCGCATTGGACATCTTGGAATTTTTCATTCTGATATTTAAAACGAATTTATTAAAGAAGACCCGAATTACGAAGTCGAATCGTTTGATACTATCGCTGTGCTCTGCTATTTTTAAGTCGTTTATCTCGCAATACGTTATTGGAAATGTGTTTTGCGCTGATTAAGAAACTACATATCTGGCATCCGTTTAGGTTTTCATTGTTGTTTAGTTTATCTTTAGAACGAGTTACGAGAAAATGAAACATTTGATAATAATATTTTCTGATCTAATATTTATAAATATAAATATCTAATAAGAGGTAGCATCGTATTTATTTGGATCGACGTTCTCGAAAGGAGGGGGCGTGACCATGAAGGGGCGCGTTTTACGGATCCAAAGAGGCGGAACAAATACGAGTAATACAAAAAGAATTTGTAGATAATTTTGGCGTAACCTTGATAGCTTAAATGATAGAATTCACACCGGAAGAAGCGTCATATGGTACTCGTTATGGCACGTCGACAAGATTGACGGTTCGTTCTCGGTGATGATCCATGGGCCAGCCGTATATTCTGATCGCAGAAATAAAAATACCGCAGAAAATATATCTCCGGCGAAGACTTCGTAGGTTGTTGACGATACATCGTCGCGCTCCGCTTGAATTCTTCCAAGTCTGCGAGATTCGATCTCGTAACCGAGCACGGCTGTCGTAAGATCAGTTCGACGGATGATTTATGGGCTGTTTTTTTCACACGGGGAAACGGTGTCGGCGAGAAAGTTGTGTTTAGAGAATTTTTGCAGCTTGTCTGTAATTTTTCAAATATTCTATTTTGGATAGAATATGTGTGCCTGTACTTTTTCAAACAGCGAGCATAAAGTCTAAATATTTATTCATATTTTGTCCGCAAATATTTGAACGTCATATTTTAAATTTGGATTAGAATATTTGGTAAGGAGGTTTTTCAGTCTTGTTAGACCGTAGACATTCGTGTCCGTGACTGTCGTCGAAAGGGGAAAGTAATTAAACAGTCTTTGTTGGCGAAGGATAGCCAGCTTGAAGCTTGCCATCGCATGAAAATTCTGTTTGCCATATCGCAGACGTGCTGTCACGACTCTGGTGTTTGTTTACGTCGCCTGTCTCACGGACCTGGTGTATGTACTTAATCGATACACTTGCAGCGTGAATTTTGCAGAGTTAGCACAGGGTTTGCAGTCCCGTTTAATTGGCGTTCGTGTTTAAAATAGTTGGTAAACGTGTATGTACATACGTATATTCCCAAGGAGTCGGGTGTCGTTTTAGTAGCTATTTCTTCATAGTCGAGATACACGGTCAATATTGGAGAGAGATCAACAGCAAAATCTTGGCTCGGAGATTCGTAAAACGTTAAAACGCGAAGAAAATGAACGAAACGTTATTGAAAATAAAAAAAAAAATTATTGTAGCAACCAGAAACATTTTTAAAATAAACATCGCCTCGAATTTTATAAAGCGCAGAAACAATATTTATGTGCTCGTGAAAGTCGCGGAATGTCTGAAACGCATTTGGCAGCCGCGATAGAATCGAGATTTCTATTTTCTTTATCAAGCGAATTTTGAAAAGTTCCCGCATCCGGTCACGTATGCTAAAATCATTTACATTCCAAGACCATTCCTCGTTTGTTTTATAAGCTCGGTAGGTGTCGTGTGTCCGAAACGTTGATAATGATACGCGTCTCTGCACGCGATCGATGTCAAAGAATCGATACCCACCTTCCTCTCAGCCCTTTGGTAAACGTGACACGTGTTTCGCGCTAACGGGCACACGTGCTACGCGACGGCCTTTTTATTCTCGCTGCCACTTCTCTCCGCTTCTTGGCTAGACGTCGTAAGGACGACCCTGGTAAAGGACACTGGCGGAACGTGTTCCGCGCGACTCGAAGCAAGTTGTCTTAACGTGTGTACCCACTCGAAGGTGACTTACATCGTGCTTTTTCTAACGACGAAACGTTCCCGTGGCACGATACGAGGATTGAAGAATCAGTGCACCATCTCTTTTTAGAATCCCCGCAATTTATTTATTTTTTTAATATTAAATTCCAGTACGAACATTTATTCGTATTCTTCGGTTATTTTTCCGATATTAAAACGAGAGACATGTATTTGCATTTTTCTGTATTTTTTCCAACGTCGAGTTTACATCATAATATATATATCCATAATTTATAAGTACAATAGACGAAGATCGAAGTAGACATATTTCGGTGCAAAATTTTTTGGATCAACCACGTGATGTTTGTAATCGTAAACATGGTAAAAGAAAGGGGAAGGAGGGGGGGTATTCGTGATAAACGTGCATTGGATTCGTAAGTGTGCCCAAGGCTACGCCACGCTGCAGCAAAGCAACCCATCCCCTTCCCTTGGAATATCGTCATTTTGACTCGCCCTACGGACAGTTCTGGATGTATCCCGTTGATTCGGGTGCTGCAGAGGGAGCGGGTGCGTCACAGCCCACTAGTATTAGGAGTGGGGGGTTGGGGGTGGGGTGAACCGCATCGTCGATCCACCCCTGCCTGCTTTCTGTGTGTTTACAGATTCATATCCTGTTTCCCTGCCTCCGGTTTCGAGAATGGTTTCCTTTCTATGTCTCGTTTGACCCTAGACTAATTTCTGCAAACAGCTCGACTTTCTTTCTTTCCTTCCTTATAGTTCTTACGTCAGAAAGTTTAGAAATTATCGATAAAAAAATGAAGAGAGTAGTCGATGTGCGCGCGTGTCTTATTTTTTCGTAAGTGTTCCGAACTGGAAAGAAAAAATGTAGAAGCTGCAAAATAATCGATAGAGAGGGAACCAAAATCGCTTTTACAGCTGTGCGAGTGGGATGGATTTTACAGGAAGGCGGTTGTCGAGCGAGCGAGAGAGCGAAAAGCAGGGGCGGGAAGGAGAACGAAGGTTAGTCCATAGGGCCAGGCAGTCCCGCTGTATTGACGCGCGGCGCGCACAGGCTTGCGCGAGGTGACGCAATCTCCCTCCTCCCGCCTCGATCTGCCTGTGCCACATTCTGCTAGCCTCTCCCCACTCTTGCTCGTTCGTTCCGTTCCTCTCTCCTGCCTCACCCGGCAGCTCCCATAAGTTCAATGCCAAGGTCAAAACGGCCACGACTCGTAGCCGTGTCGGTCGCGATACTCGTTCCGTCGAGAGAAGAAGAACCAGTTGTGTGTGTGTTCGTCTATCGTCGCGTCGTTGTCGTCGTCGTCGTCGTCGTCGTTCCACATCGCGTATTCGCGTTTAACCTTTTCCCCATCGTTGTCGCGGCTACGCGCCGTAAGATTTTTCGTTTCTTTTCGCGCGACTAACCTACATACGCGGCCAGCAATCATGGCGAATCGCGGCGAGTCGAGACGCGTCAACGATTATTCGTCGATAAATGGATGGTTCTCGGGTGCGAGGACTAGGAAGAGGAAAAACGCGTAACCGAATCGCGAGCGTTAATGGTGCGCAATCGGTCGGAGACATTCGTGCGTTATCGTTCGATGTCGTCGAAAGCAGCTCGTGCAGAAGCAAGGTCGTGACAGGTGCGTGAAGAATATTCGCGGAGGACGAGTCCAGGACGTCCTGCGCAGCGAATGCGGATACGCATCGGTACGAAGAATGGATATAAACTATTGTCGTCCTCTCTCGCTCTCTCTTGATAGTGTTTGACGTCACGAGACAAGATGGCGGATTTCGGTAGACTCGGGACAGTCGTTAAAGCTCTCTATACCAGGATGGTTGACGTTTCCGATCGTGCTGCACGGTACCAGTTCTCTGATACATCGATTCGTGGTTGAATATTGTTTTCCAAGTGTGTGTTGATTATCGCAGAGAAAAAAAAGAACGGAGAATGATTTTTACGAGTCGCATTAAATTTCGAAACGAAATTAAGCGTTTACGATACGGTGTCGGTGGTAAACGTCTAAATGCAGAGTCTTTACGTCGACGACTAAATACATACAGCTTACCCGGAAAGCGCTAATGCATCCACACAAGCGAATGAACGGTATACGTTGCTGTCAGTGTCAAGGTTAACGCGGCAAATCACGCGAACGAACGTAATTCTTCGCCCGGCTCGCATTATGTAGTAAATATGGCCGCCGGGGATATAATACGGTGTTGTACATCGTTCAACTAGGTAATCTATAATCGTTGTACCACTATTATGATGTAAGTCGGTCCCGCATAAGCTTCGTAACATGATCAATTGATTATGCAGATATCCCCCAACTTGGTTTCATTCGATGTTTCCTTTGTCTACTTCACTGGCACTGCCATGGCTGGGTAATATCGACCACCGTGCTATATCTATCATCGACATAGTGCGGACTTAACCTTGACCCTTGTTCCCCGAGCTCTTACATACGAACTCGGTGTTTCCTAGCGATGGAGCACATCAAACGTTCCATATCTTTCATCGAACTTGGTATCTATCGCTCTGATATTTCGTGTCATGGGTGTCGACGACGTTTTCGCTTTCCGTCGTTTTCACGTGTCCCAGTTTCCGTCGCTAGACGTCCTTTACCCTGATAGGCTAACCTCTTTCCAGGCGTCCCTTATTCTCGGTCTTCCTTGCCTTTCATCCTTCGCCCTTTTTTCTTGCTCTTCCGTTACGTGAACGTTCCAAGCTTCATTGAAGGGCCCGACATATGTAAATATACACGTAAATACGCGCAGGATTCTAATTTACGTTCAATTATTATCGCCTGCGAGAAAATTGCACTTTTTACGTATCTCTTTGCGCTAGTAGTTTCCGCTCGAGTCGATAACATTTTATCGCAGCAATTTTCTGAACCTTTCCTACCTCGTGTCGATCTCTTGCATAATCAACGACAAGCTGAGATAATCGTCGGCGACGTATTACAGTTTTCGCGCGTTCTTCCGCGGTGCTATGTGCTCGTGCCACTTCTCGAACACGTAATCGTAGAAAAAAAAGTCTGCCGACCAAATGCTCGCATTTTTAATGGAATCGCGCAGAAATGGCGAGGGGGACAAGGAGGGCCTATTGGCTTTACGCGATCAACCGTAAATCTCGTTAAAAGTACCGAAGCACGCGCCTCTGCAACGCCCCCAATGTATTTTCGATGCAACTGCCTTGGAGTTTATTATTAAACGTCCACCTTCCTGTTCCGACATTGCGCGTTCCGTGATGCTTTAATGTTTCATCGGAAAGGAAGGGTATATATTTCGTTACTTTCCGCAGAAATGTTGTTCACGGTTTATCTTTATCGGAAATATTTATTTTCTTGTTGCAGGGGATAAGTTTCGTCTGGTTCTCGCGACGACCTTGAGAGAGGACGGCTATCCGGATGGAGGGGAGTGGAACGCGACGGAACAGGAAGGAGGCTCCAGGGCAGACAGTTTCGAATACGTGATGTCTGGAAAGGTTTTCCGAATCGAGGGCGACGAAGCCAGCAACGAGCCCAGCAGCAGATTGTAAGTGAAATATTTCAGTTTTCTTCGTTTGTACATTAGTCTGCGATGGCACTGGTTAACAGAATAAAGTTTGCGTTAAAATTAACGTTATTTCGAGTCGAGTTCGGTGCATGATCGAACCTAACTCGGGACCGTCGCATTCGCCTGGACTAGCCGGGCGGTAGACGGCGGCCATTTTGGAATAGTAGAGTTAGGAAGAAGGAGCCTACCGACGTGCTCGAATAGTTGGTTCGAGTTTTCTTTTCATGATCTGATATGCCAATTGTTCGGTATCTTTGAAACGTTTGAATCGTAAAGTGTGTGCATGGAATGCGCGTTTACATTTCCAACGCTATTTTATTCTGTTACGAACCGGCCGTAATCGCTTCGCGTATCTCGTGCGTGCACGCACGTCACAGTATGACGTCATTCGTACGCGTCGTTGCGCGCGTAAACGCGCTCTCTTTCTGCTGTGAATCTCTGATTGGCTCGCTTCCAGTGCTCAATGAAGTCTCGTGAGTTTTTTTGAAACGTGTAAGTTCCAAAAAATTGCCCCAGAAACAAAGGTCGCGTCGATATTTGCGACACGAAAAGAATACGGACAAACGTAACTTTTCGGTACGACTACTTTGGAAAATATCCTGAAAGTGGTCCATGTTAAGAAAATGTGTAGAGAGCGTATAAGAAAACAGTATACGTTTAGAAACGAGCGTTTCTTGGAATTTTGTGCGAATAGGTTAAAAAGGAAAAAGTAAAAAGTAAACCAAGTATTTGTTACTTACTTCTATTCACGTAGACGTATGTCAAATATAAAAAATTGATATTTAGTAGTAGGAAGTAGGTAGGGCTTTTGTTTATTAGAAAACGTAGCAAGTATTCGACATTAGAATTCTTTGTGAATTGTTTGGGGAGAGAAAGTTGCATCGTGGTGGAGTTCCGCGATAACCCTGACTTGACCGACTTATCGTTTAACCTTGAAACTCGATTCCTACCGCGTATGCAGTCAATGTATGCAGCGAAGGCCGCTTTGATGTTTGATCAGTGCAGGTTGTGTCGTAAACCGTATATACGCGAACTTCTAGTATCGTGCACGTTCGTATTGTTGAAAATGGAAATGTGCAGTGTTGGTCGAGGCTCGATAAGATAAAGCGATGCAAGCTCGCCGTGTGGTGCGTTAACGAATTTTAAAGTGGTACGTGGAGATTACGTAATTGTTGTATGTACGTCCTAAATTCCTCTATTATTCCCTCAAACATATTCCGTTTCCACTAGATTGTTTAAAACAGAGATAAAAGAATGAAAATATTAATAATAAATTTGTGGGAACGCGTATGATAGGAGCATAACCTATACAAGGAGTTACCGAAACGAAGAACTCGTGGTATTTATTAACAATGATGGTTTGATCTTTTTTTTGAAGCGCGGAGAATTATTGTTTCGATCCACCATTTTTGACGTGTCAGAAAGTTTCGACCAAAGCCTCCTCTCTCAGCCATATCGCACCAAGTGCTTAACGCCACCTGGCAACTCTTTCCATCGCCGCAGAATTAATTGGACAGATACTCGTCGTTGTAGCGCGAAGAATGATTGCAAAATCAATTAACTTGTGACAGTTTGCGATTTATTACCGGGACATAACTATCGTGGGTTTAGTGTCCCGGTGGGGAATGCATCGTCCGAACAGCAATTCGCTTTCAGCTCCTTGAATGCTTTCGTATCGATTTATCGATCTCTTTGTTGCACATAATCTACGGTTCTCACGCTATCTTCGTGTACGTGTTTGCATTCAATCGTTATCAGAGATTTTATCTTATTCTTCGGTCGTGTTCGTGTCCTTGAAAAAGAACTCGGCCTAAAATCGATCGTTTCTTTTCGATAATGATACCGTTGTTTTTAATTTTTGTATTTTATTTAATCGCCCTCGATTTTGCTTTGTCTTTATTCTAAAACTGGCAAGGAAAGGAGGTTATGTACGAAGGAAGACCGAAGAAAGTTCCCCCCTGAAGAAATTGAAGAAAAAGATGTGTGTCAACGTTTACACGTACAATCGATAACCAAATGTTAGATTAACAATGGTTCTTGGACGAACACGTTCGTTTAATATCAAAATCGGAAGGGTTTTCAAAGGTATCGACAATTGAGAGGAGTCGCGAAAAGACCACACGCTATTGTTCACCATATTCGGTCGGTAAAAACGGACGGAGGCACCGAAACGGGCTCTCGGAGAACAGGGAGCCACTCTGCGTTCACTCGGTGGGTAATGAAGCGGGTGAACACAGCTGGTGGTATCTCAATTTTCTGAGAGCGTTGGCAACCCATTGAGCATTACCTGCTGGCACCCTGTGGTGGTTTTGTGGAAGAGTAATGGCTCTGTGATATCTCCGAAGAAACCAAAGAAAAAGGACGCATCGCGTACAGAAATATTTAAGCTTCATCGGTACATAAGGAGTCACAATATGTATATCGCGACTAAACATTTCTTGGCGCTCGTTGCTGTCTGACAGTGACCATAAAGAAAAATCATGCAGGTGTTCCATATTACCGAAGACATTCCCAGCTCGTTTATTCAGTGTGGCGCGCGATGCGTACGCCTTCCGGTAGCGCGAGCCTGTGAAAACGGGAGCGTCGCAGCTGGGAAATGAAATATTGATCAGGGTCACTGGAGACCCCGGGATACGAATATAGAGCTAATCCCCCAACGAATGGAAATTGCACACACGAGACGTTGTCATACCGGTGGTGCACCGGCGAACTAATTTGCCCTCGTCATCTTTGGCCTTTGGTCTTTACGCCATTTTGATTTTTAATTAATTCCAGATATTCAATTGCAAATTGATACTTGCATTTTCGAGCAGTGTTTGATGGTTTTTTCTTCGAACGAACAATGGTGCGTGGATCATAGAAATATTTGAGATATTCTTTTTTATATATTTTTTTTTTATAATATGTGGTTCGTGCAGTTGGGGGAACGGGGGCGAAGTGTGACCGTGTGCACGCGTGACTGCGTCGAGACGTGTTTTCGCATTGGTCGACGGCGCGCGACGCGCTAGGATGCGCACAAGGTCGCCCGGGCTGTCAAAATCAGCTGACGCTCTGGCGACCAATCAGCTGATCTCCAAGCACCGAGGGAGACTCGTCGCTTTTGACCTTTCAGCCATAAAGGGCGCGTGGTCTCGACTTCTCTTAAATTACATCCCACTTCTTTCATTATTTTTTCGTTTATTTTATTTTTATCGATAACGGGTGAACCAATTCGATCTCGTAAGAAAAGACTCGAGTATTTTCATTTTTGTTTTGAATAAAATCTTCATCGTGTATGAAATTCGATTAATTAAATCGATTAATTTCCTTACGGGAGATTAATATGATTACGACTCACTCAAGATACCCATGATGCATTCATTAAAATCGTTGTGACATGTCAAACTGTAATATCTCGAATGACATCATCCCTCGCCATTATCGCGATTAAATGTTCCTGGACGAAAGCAATCGGTGGAGGTTCTCGTTGCAATCGTACGTTTCAGCATTGAAAAATAACGTTCGCGGTGATTAATAGTCGGAATAGCTGAAAATACGAGCGTAAGAAACGCCGGGGGGGAGACACATTCATCGTTGCGGTGATCCAATGCCGAACATTTTAAGCTCTTCAGGCCTACTGTACATTGTCGTGTACGTGGACAGTATAATTAATTTTGTTAAATAATAAACGATCTTTGTTTCAATATTTTTCTTCTTTATAAATAGTTTATTTATAAATAGTTTATTTATAAAGAAGATCTTTATAAATTAATGCCAAATGTTTCAACAAAACGTAACCGATAATGAATTATTATCTGCCAGCAAGCGACTCGTTGGAAAATACGAGCTTGAAGCTGTACATAGTGTAAGCCGTATTTTCTGTTATGTTCGACGGGCGCACCGGTGCACGGAAACGAAGCTACGGGAGTTCGATAATTATATCGCGATAGCATAATTAGTATAATTGCATCGTATTGTCGTAATTATATCTTGATTAAATCTCGATTGAAATCTCCGTTTTTGTAACGGTGAAGCGTTTTGCAAACACGAGGCTGCGTAAACGGATCGTTAAACGAAATTGTTCTGACAGTATATACACTGGGTGTCGTTTCAAGTAGCGATCGTTGAAATTAAAATAATTCGAAAATCAGTAGTCGCGATTGGTGCATTAAATGATATAAAATTCCTATTAAGAGGAATCGTTTAGTTCGATACAGATCGCCGACCCAATAAGTTAGTCAATAAATCTATCCTACGCTTGCGGTGGACGCACATGGGCGTCGACAAACACGATCGTAGGCGTACGTTTTATATTCAAGGTCTTCAGCGCCCAAAGGTTTACACGCACACATAATTAAGAATGTATAATTGATACGTTGAACGCAGCGTGGAACATGTTTGATATACCCAGTAGTGTTTTCCAAAATGATGTACGTTTTTATTCAAAAGTATCAAAAAAATGTTACTTCGTGTCGTAAAGATGGACAATATGGTTTAATTCGTTGTTAGAGATTTTTAATCCGGGCTAGAATTTTATCGAACGGTCGAATTCCTCGGAGTCGTAAATACAGACCAGCGCGAGTCGGTGGAAAATTTAACCGCCACGTCATTCGACGTTAGCGTTGGAAGAAAACTCGCGGAGAAGAGGAGTAGAGACGCGCGTAAAAATGTCGCGTTATAGCTCGTCACAAAGGGGCGTAAAGAGCGGAGGAGGATTACGTAAGGTTTGCGGTGCAGCGTCGGCGGAGTTAGAGCCGCGCGTTTTTGGCAAGGAAAAACGTTTTCGTTTCTGTTCCGACGGACGCTCGCAGTGTATTATTGGCGTTTGATCGCAGGTGCGCGTACGTTTCTTGGGGACGTAAATAATCCACATTCTTTGCTTTTAAGATACGAGATTTGCCGGTGGAAAGGCTGAATCCGACGAATGGCGTTGTTCTAAAATTAAATTTATTACGCGGAAGAAGAAAATTCATTTTATATAAATAGGTTACGTAAATGCA